TTGTTAACAGGAGTAATTCCTTCCTTGCTTTTCTTCATCTGCAAGCTTAGCAGCTCTCCTTTGTGGTGTTATTTCAAGTGTTTTGTTTCTGTGTTACTGTTTTTTCTCATGCTTTGTGTTTTGATGGTCTATAAGCTAGCTTTTATTTCTGGTTAATATAGTAGTTATGTTTTAATGCCCGAAAAAAAAAAACTAAGAGAAATAGAGAATCAAGGATGAGAAAGGAAAGAGAAGCAATTAGGTGTTTAATTTGAAGCGATAATATCCATGCATTATAATTGGCTTAACTCTAATATAAAATAACACATAGATTCTAAAACCAAATACGACTCTTATTAGTCCTCTTAAAGATCATATCAAATATTAAACTAATAAGAAACTAATTAAATCAAAACATAATAATGTTAAATAATATAATTTTCCCTAAAATCTAGTTATATCATATACCACATAGTTTCTTTTGGGTATGTCAATATCAGGGATTGAATTTTAAACACATGGTTAAGAGTATAGATAACTCTACAATTAGATCATGTGGTTATGATATTAAATATTACATAATTAATTACAGACTCATTATTATAAAAAAAATCCTACAATCGAATCACATGGTTGCAATAATAGTTAATTTTTTATCAACTATAAAAACAGATTAAAATTGATAAACTTCAATAGGATGCTAAGAATAACTAAGTCTTAATATTTAATTTTCTTTTCACATTAACAAAGAATTAAGAAATACATATTCCTTAAAAAATAAAAAGAATAAATATTGTTATTTATCCCCTAGTTTAGTAAAAATTTATCAACATTGTGCTGAGGGATGGCAATACTTATTCCTTAATCACCCACTAACTTAGTAGAAAATAATTACTTGTAGGAATAGATATTCCTAACCTCTTAAATAAGTTTTAAAATTTTGACTCTTACTTTAATTTGATTAAAATGTTATAGATATGTTTACATGTGGAATAGATCTTTTGCCCTCTTTATCCATTTAAAAGCATAAACAAATTGCCTATATTGCATCATCAAAATATTTACAATTATAAAATATACTCCCTCCATTCAACTTTTAAGACTTAGATTTAGTTGTCTAATTTTCATATTTTAAAAATGTTAATAGTTATAATACCATGTAACATTATAAACTTACATTATGATATGTCATTATATAATTAACTCTTTTTATTTAAGGTTTCATCTATAATATTATATGCATTCACTCATTTAATGTCATGTTATATTAATTTAATGCCATGTATAAGTTACAATTCTACTTGACATTGTAAATATAACATTGCAGTTTATGTTTAAGGCATCATTCATGTGTCCATTCATACTTTACTTTTTTTTGAGAAGATAATTACAACATATATTAAATAAAAAGATGTATTTAAGTAGTGATAAATTAATGATAAATATAAAATTTTATTAATTAATTATCACATC